CTGACATTTTGCATAAACTATAATGCTAAATATGCTTGCTGCTTAGGTTAATAGGTTATGTAGAATATATTTGGTGTTCAGCCTTCCTATGTGCAGAAGACAGTCGATTCAGTAGAATCTTCTGTTGGTAGGAAGAGAGAAGGGCACCATATTAAATTACTTCTTTCTTTTGCATTCCCCCACCCTTGCCATTGTTGTAGTGCCCCAAAACTCTCTGGAGCATATTTGCAGGCTGTGTTTTTTTTTTTTAAGAGAGTGAGTTATGGAAAGGAAGGGGCCATCAGCAAAAATGGTCTTCAGAACTCTGTTGTGGGAAAGCTCTCACCAATTACGTAAATATAATGTAGGATCCACGTCAGTGGTAGTAGTGTTTACTGGAAAGGAAGGGGCCATCAGCAAAAATGGCCTTCAGAACTCTGTTGTGGGAAAGTTCTCACCAATTAAATACAACCCACGTCAGTGGTAGTACTGTTTACTAAAATTAAATCATTTCTGAAACCAATTTCCTCCACAGTGTCAGAGAAAAGTATTGCAGTGCAGTACATCCATAGGTGCACAGCTACAGTGCATCTATCTGCTCATAGTATGTGTCCTGGCTATGCCCATGAGTTGTCTACATTGATAATCACTGAAATCTTTTCTTTCCCAAGTCCAATTGACAAGACTTGAGATCTCTGTGAAGCACTTATCCAAACACATCATCCCAGACAGTCTGTATGCATCATCTGAAAGATATTCATATAGGTAGAATATTCTCCAGAAACCTAGATCTTTTTGAAAACAGATGCTGATTTGCCTTTTTGATTACGCACACATCACTAGTTCTTATAATACAGAACCATAATACAATTCTTTCAAAAAGCAGTATAGTCAGTGATTTATGTCTGAGGTATCTGCCAGTCAGAAAGGCAGATGCAACATATGAAAATATGTTCCATGAGTCCCAAGCCAATTTTTCTTTTCCCACAAAAATATTGCTATGGAGTCCTATTATATCCAGGGGGCATGGACTCATGTGTTGAGTCACAGAGAATTCTTCCCTGATAGTTCAAATATATGATTTAGGGCACCTGATAGAAAACTTTGAGATGCATAGTCCATTCCTTATTTTTTTTCCGAGGAAAAATAGGGAGTATTGCACTGGACTGCCGAACATGACAGAACCCTGTTGTACAAGTTACAATCACACAACTATGATAATGTTATCAGCTGTGGCCAATACTCAGCTGTGCCACTACCATTTGGGGGCTTTTGAAGGCTTCTTTAAAATCACCAATTTTACAATTGCTCTTTAATGCAGTTCCAGCAGTGGTGATTTCAGGCATTAAAGAGTTTCCCTTTCTGTTCTGCAGGTACCAAAGGTTTTCTTAGGACAAGGAGGATCCCTGGCAATCCTCAGAATGTTGCCAAATGGAATATGAAGTTTTTAATTCCCCAAAATGGCCACAGCTGATGCCATCACAGTTCCAAGGTCATTACTTACTCAACAGGATTCCAGTCAATAAATGATTTTGGGATGACCTAAGACTTAAGTCAGAACTGATTTGACGGCACATAATAATAATTATTATTAAGAGTTATTCTGTGTAACACACAATATATAAAAATTATGATTACACACAAAACCATGTGATTTCTGCATGTCTTACAATTTATTTCTTCTCTCTTGGAACACAGAAATAAAACTCAATCTGTTTTTTATTTACCAAATAGGATAGTTCTGTGGGTAAAAGACAGAACACATTTACTGTTAGCATGTTTTCAATACATGTCTGCACCAAATTTCATAATTCATAACCATATCATATATTTTAGGCTTAACTACTCTAATACTTCTCACTTAGGAATTAAAATATGTATTAAAATCCCATCAGCAAAGCCATAAAATCTAATTCCAAAAGTATGTGAGTAAATATGAGCTTCTCCAGTGTATTATCAGCTTGGCTAATAGGCAAGCAAGACATGGACACATCACTACTAATTTGCTTACCTATAACTGTTTTTCTTTGAGTGGTTATCAGTGATTTCACATGCAGGGCTTCTGTGTCTGTACAAAAAGTAGCCTCAGAACCTTCTATAGCCTATGGAGAAGTGCTTTCCCCTTCCGCCAGCACTACTGCATATGACCAGACTGTCCACCATCCAGACATAAACTCAGCATGACAGAGAGGAGAAGGGTGGGATGTGTGAATTCATGAAGGACCACTTGAAGAACTTAAGTTACAGTTAAGCAACCTGCCCTTTTTTGGTCATGGTCTCCATGAATCAAACACATGGGGAAGCTCATTTACCAGAGATGTCAGAACTTCACAGATGAGAGCACTGCCCTTCTGAAAGAAGCATCTGGCTGTGAACAAATATCCAGTCTATAATGCCTGAAAAAGGTAAGCAGCTGGGACCAGGTCGTAGCCTTGCAGATGTCAGGCAAACTGAGTCCTCTTTGGGCAGCAGTGGAAGTCATGAGAACCCCTTATTGAGTGGCTAATACCCTGAGGTACTGGTTGAGTGGTCATCTCATAAGCCAACTTGATGGTTTCCAAAACCCAATTAGCCAATCTCTGGGATAATACTGGATTGCCTTTCCTACGACCTTGATAACAAAGGAAAAGTTGAGCACACTTTCAAAACTCCCTCATACGAGACACCTAAAAGGTCAGAGAATGCCAAGGTATGAAGTGATCTGTCAAGAGATATCTGGTGATTGGCAAATATAGGTAATTCAATTGTGATGTATAAAACTGAGGAACAACTTTAGGTAAGACAGTAATATATGGAAATAAGGCATTTTTATGAAACTGCAGGAATGGTGGGTAGCTTTGAAGTGTGCACAGTGCACTAGAACACATCACTAATGTGACAGCAACAAGGAAAGCAATTTTAAAGGTTAGCAGTCTAATGTCAGTGCTCACCACAGGCTTAAAGGGAGGCCCCATTAACTGAGTAGGGACGAGAGAGAGGGACCAAGGCTCTGGTAGATGATGAATTTTAGGTTAAGTATAAAGCAGACCTTTCAATAATTTCTTAAGTACAGGATCTACAAAGAGATGGGGTAATGAGTGGCCACGAGGTTGTCGTGACACAGTGGCTGCTAGGTAAACACAGAGGACTGAGTGAAGCCTCTCTGCTTTAAGGACAGTAAAGCCTTCATTACTGTCTCTCAAGAAGCTGGGATGCTAGGTGCCCAGACAGACCTGGCATATTAAAGAAATATGTTCCACTTATAGATTTTCTCATTGGAAGGCTTTGGCAGAGGCCAGAATCTGAGTCATTTAGGACAAATCCTGTCACATTCAGTCTGGGAATATTTTGTTGCCTCACTTTCCCTCTGTTGTATGTCAACAAGTGTGGTGAAGTTCACAGACACTGTCAACAGTGGAGTGAATCAAATCTGTAAATCAAAATTTGTATTTTTTGCATTATTTCACTGTTTTTACTATATTGGAAGCCGCCTAGAGTGGTCTTTTAGACTAGACGGGCGGGGTATAAATCAAATCAAATCAAATCAAATCAATCAATCAATCAATCAATCAATCTGTCTCAACCACCAGGTTATTAGAATCACATTTACTTGCTCTTGTTTGATTTTGATTTTTGTTCTGTGGATCAAGAGAAAGGGAGCAATCCTGTGGTGCCCAGGATATTCACAGAAGAAAATGTCAGTCAGGTCTCAAATAGTAATGGGGCACAGAGCGGTAGAAATATGGAGTGAGATGCATTGGGTCTTGTTCGACCTTATGTTGATGGAGAGACTTGTGCAAATTCCTGCAATGGGTGGACCTTTCACAAATGGAAAGGTAAAGGATGATTGTTAGGACTAATATCTGCTCTGGAGAGTGTGCCCTTGTTCCTGAGGTGGAATTTCTTGGAGAGGGGAGAATTTGCTAAGACCAGATTGAGTATGCCTGCTTCATTCTGGAGACTGACAAAATACAGGAGAGAAAGCTTGTAGACACTGGGTGTCGTCTTCTGAAGCAGTTTGAAGAGGAATGAAATCACATGCAAGTTCCAGACTTCTCTCAAAATGCTGCTAATGCAGCAAACTGAAGAGAACTAAGGGCTAGCTATTAGGGCACTGATGGTGAGCCTTTTTGAGCCGAACTGCCCAAACTGCAAACAAACAAACAAAACCAAAGCAGCAGGTGGCAGAAGTCACATTGGCTGGTGAGCCTTTTTGAGCCGAACTGCCCAAGCTGCAAACAAACAAAACCAACCCAGCAGGTGGCAGAAGCCGCATTGGCGGAAGTAGGAATCCCAGGCACGGAGGTGCCTCCAGACCCCACTCTGGATCCGCCTCCAGTCATGCCCAACCCTGCCTAATACCTATAGCTTGGCCAGCCAGCCTACCGCCACCAGTGCCAGCTGCTCCAGATCCTGGCCTGCCACCTGTTGCGGCACTAGCACTGCAGCTGCAGCCACCGCCACCTCCTCAGGTTTGGCTGCTGGGAGTAGCGATCCTTGCTGCATTAGAGTGTGTCAGATCATATGTATCAGGCAAAAACAAAACAAAAATCAAAAATAAAGAAGATGAAAACATTAAATGCTAACTGCTATATTTGAATGTGAGCTTTTGTGGACAAGTGCACTTCCTCAAACTTTTTCTTACAATCATATGCACAGCAGCACTGGAGAAGGGGAAAAATGCTTCTCCATAGGCTCTAAAAGGTTCTAAGACTACTTTTGGGGCACTACAACGATGAAGAATTTAAGATTATCTGGAAAACAGGTTAAATGTAGCTATCCTACGGTTGTCTATAGTAACAAATGGGCATGTATGTTGTTACAACAAATATTTTAGTCAAGCAAGTGATGATGTTTCAACAGTGATGTTGGTAAAATATATTACTGTTAGTATGTAAATCCTTTGTGTCAAATCCAGTGAGCCATTTTTGAAATCTAACAAATGCATAACATGCAGTGATGCTGATTTGTTACCTGCAAACTCTGTAGCTCATCCAGGAAAAAGCTGAGAAAGAAAGAGTCTTTTGTAAGCAACTGCTCACCTATATGGGCTCCACTGTTGAGACCAGTACATTCAGCTTCCTCTGGATGAAGTGTAAAAGCATACCGAACAAAAGCCAAGAAATAAAGCAGAATAGTTAGAAGCCCAGCCATAAATGCAAAAGAAGAGTTACTCTAAATGACAACTGTACAAAGCATAGCATAAAAAGCCTTCAATGTGCCACTGTTTAAAAATAAATCAGTGTATTGTCCTACAGCAGAGCAAGAGACTCCGAAATAAAGCAACATGCACACTTAAGTTTTCACCTTTTCAATTGTCTTTTTCATGACAAAAAATTAAAAAAGTATCTTTTTAAAAGGCAGACTGTATTGAAATTTAAAATTCAGAGAACTGGAACACACAGATAAAGACATTTTCAGAGAATATTAAGAGCTGTTGCCTTTGGCTCAATGGATCAGACAAAAAGGTTTTTTTTTCAGTGACCATAATCTTCTTGCATGATATAAAATAGTATTGGTACTTATTAATATGCCAGAAGTCCTTTGAAAAAACAAGATACAGCATTTAAAAATATTATTATATAGACCGATGATTTGAAACAAACCAGTGAGCTGCAACTGTTATTGTTGTAAAAAGTAACAGCAGAGTGGGATGCACAGGAAAACAAGAAAAGAAAAACAAAACAAAATCAAAAAACAAGGGGCAGCCTGGATTGAATATCACACTGGTGCTGCATGGCCCAACATGTCAGAACTCTCTTTCTGCCCTCCTCCTTGCAGCCCTTGGTGGGGCTTGAAAACTGGCCCCGAGAGGATTTCTAGCCTTTCAGAACAGGTTTTTGAGATACACAGAAGACATTAGTGGAAAGGGGATATCACTCTGTCCCAACTCTGCTGAAGGATATATATCAATAAACTAACAGAGCAACTTCACTTCAGAATTATACCCTTCAAGATCTACAATAAACACGTTTAAAAATAATAAATAACTTAAATAGAATGTTTTAGGGCCATGAACAGGACTTACACAATCCTGGGCCCACAGAAATGTTTTATGAGCACACTGGGTTTATTATCACATGCTTGTTGACTAACTTGAAGAAGTGTTTGTTGAAATTCACCCCAGAAGCTCAATTTATGTACAGAAACATGTTTCTACAAGCAAAATGATTGCTTTGGGGAACCATAATCCTGATATGATCTTGCTTTAGGAAGAAATTCAAAAGCAAACAGGGATATCACAAGTGGGACCCCCTGCCTTACCCCACAGGGATCCCCATGCACAGATGCCACTGTTATGCACAGAAGCCATCTACTACAGCTTTTTGTGGGATTTGCAGGGCTGATATATAGCAACAACTGATCCACTATCGTGACTAAACATACTGCTATATCTGTTGTTAATGTTCAAACTGCCATCAAGGAAAAGATGACATAGTTCCTCTAATTTTCAAACCCGACCTGCAAGCCAGCAGGTTCAGTTCAGTTCAGAATCTGTATGTGCACCTTCAGTTTCCTCTGAGAAGCACAAAAGGGAAAAATGAGAGGCAAATAAAGATTACAGTGACTGAGGATATGGTAGACATATGAACAGTTAAAAGCACAGGAGAAAAAATAAACACCTACCACACTCAACTGCTTCTTCAGCTTAGAATGGAAAAAAAAGAGCAGACATACTATAATTTATATTTTATTATAATTATTAACAAGTGATAATTAAACTGGGAAAATTATAAAATTCAACAGTAGGACAACACATTAAGAGCATGCATAGCAGTAATCTAAATGGAAAAGAAAGTTCAAAGTTTTGTAATCCAAAATTACATTTTCTTGAGATTATGTAGATGTGACAGCTCTTTTCTCTTTCATAATACCCTACTACAGTTAAGGGACCAGGAATGAGCCAGATAAATATGTGTATCTTCTACTAGCCCTTTCACCCTCTGGGCATGGAATGTCCCCTTCAACAACTCTTCACTGCAATTCACTGTTACTATACCACAGTCATCTATAGGTATCTGTAATCTAGGCTCTAGGGCTTTAAACTCCAGCATACTGTAAACCCATTTACCCTAGTCAACATTAAGCATGGTTAGTTCCACTGTTGAAAGAACGGTACATGAAAGGAGGAGTATAAGGTATCTTTGATCATGTAACAATGCTAAGCAAAAGAAACTTTCAGTTTTGTATGAATCTTGGGTAAAGCCACACTTACATGGGGAGAAATATTTAAATTCTCAAACTGTTACCAAGAAGAGGAAATGAAAATTAATATATTTCCAAATGAAATTCTTAAGCTATTAAATTCTGAGACTGATACCAACTCTTCAGCAATCTACCTTCTTCGAGAGCCTGGCCCTAGCCTCCTTCTGTTGCCCCACTCACTACCATATCATACACCAGTGCACATTTTCTTTGGACTGTTATCTCCATCAGCTTTGTTTGTCAAAGTCCTTCCTACTACTACCAGTTTACTTCAAGCAGCTTACTTCCTTAATCAAGTATTACTGGCAAATGCAGTGGCTGATACAATTTCATCCTCTGGTACAGATATTACTATACAGTATACAGTAAATCACATGGATATTAGGTTCAAAAGGCACACACTCATATTATTAACAGTATGTCTCTTTATACTATAAGGAAACTGTAATTAATTAAAACATATAACTAAATGGCAAAGAAATGACTCATTGAGATCCCTGTTTTTTAAAGTGAAAATAGACAGAAGTTCTGTTGAGCAAGGGGATGGAAGACCCTCTCATCTGAGGTACTAAGGATGCTACAGGTATAAAGTGCAGAGTTAGAGGAACTACTTTTCTGAACCAGAACTCTCAGACCAACCAGAAGATAACAAAGTGGGATGAC